GAACTGAAATTATCCTGGCATCATCCATCTGCAAATAAGTAAACTTCCCAGCCTGTTGCTTCTGTGAGGTTAGAGAGAGTGAGGGCTTGCCAAGGGCTTAGAACATGCACGGTGGCTGTCTGATCTCCCTGGTTGCTGAGATTCAGGTAGAAGGTGTTCAGCCAGACACTGCGAGGGGGAGACAAGTCCTGGGCTGGGTATCAGCTGCGAGGGTAACCCTGGGCAGGTCTCTCATCCTGTCTGAATTAGTCCTTGATAGCTGTTATTTTCCCTCCGTGCTTCATTCCCCGTGCTGAACGGCTCCGTGTATTATCCCCATATCTCTCTCACTTCAGCACAGGCAATTAAGAATGTGCAGGAAACTAGTGGTGTGCCTTCCCTTATGAGCATCCTAAGACATCACAAGCCACTTAGAGACCAACACGTGGGAGATCTTGCCCCCCCACCACCACCACTGAACATTCTCCGAGTCTCCGAATACATCTCCATGAAGATGTGGAAAGAGGGGCTGAGAAGATATCTCAGCAGGTAAAGGACCAGATGTGCAGGTTAGAGGACCAGGGTTTGGACTCCCAGAGCCCATGTGAATGGGATGTGGCAGCCTGACTATAATGCCTGTGCTCCAGAGGGAGTCAGAGACAAAGGTCCCCGAGCAGCCGGGTAGCTGAATCAGCTGCATCGTCAAGCTCCAGACTCAAGTGAGAGACCCTGCCTCAACACGCCAGTAGGGAAACAGTTGAGGAAGGCACTAATCGTTCGTTCTGTGTCCTACACACGCACACATGTGCAAGCGTACTTGGATGCACACCTGTACTCACACACCTGTGACCATGCATGCACAGGCATGTATGCACCCCACATACATATGCACACAAAAAGTAACATGGAAAGACAGGCTGTGGATGCAGCTAAATTAATTGAGTGCTTGCCTAGCATGCACGAAGCCCTAGGGCCAGGGCCGGGGCGGGGCTAAGGCAACTGAATAGACCAGTGATATTTGACCATCAGAGACCTTGGTGATTTTCATGAGCATCTTGCAAGGGTGCCCCAGGCCTTGTCCCAGCCCCAACCCCACCCAGCCTCAACAAGAGGGGAAATAGCAACCTCCACAGTAGAGTCAGATAGCAACTGTGTTCTGTGTTTAAAGCAACCTGCCCAGTCTTATAACTCCCTAGCTTGTGCCTGTGTCAGGAAAACAAAACAAAACTGTAATTCCAAGGTGCTCTTGATATCCATGAGTCTGAAGAAAGAAGACTTGCATCTCACAGAGACTACTTTAGTGGCTGAAGAATGTTCCCACCAATACAAGCCTTAAAGGGAGACAGGTAACTACATTACCCAGAAATCCCAGGGTCTGTGGCGTAGATTCCGACAGACTGCAGCATAATGCAGCAGAATCTACTAACTGGGTGGAGGGTCTCCTCCCAGCACTAAGGGCCAGCCAAAGGACAAAACTCAAGATGGTACCATCTGTCCCACCAAGAATTCAGACCCGGAGTAAGGAAGAGTGGGGTAGAGTGTTGAGTTTTCAAAACTTGCTTTAAGAAAGATTATCAAAACTGGGCAATACCAGCCACTACCTTAACCAGGCCCAAGTAGAGCCTGGTACAGATGGGCACAGTCACCCCACCCAGCAGAGAGGGTACCGTTTATTTCTAGACAACTAAGATGGGAAGAAAATGATGTTGGGTGCCCAGGGAAGTCTTGATTTCCTGGGGGAGGCCAGCTCCAATCCTCAGGCATTGGGCAATCTGGTAGAGTCACTCTCAAGGGCCTCCAACCTGATGAGGAGACAGACCTCCATCTTCAAGGGGTGCCCAAGTAATGGAGCCTGCAGGGCCCAGGTCTCCCTTCCGCCTCTGCCCAGCTCCCAGCACTGCCTGCCACGGTGTCCTCCTCCAGCCAGCCGGAACGGGCTTGCCGCTCCGATGGACACAGGTGGCTGGGCACTCGTCCTTGTCCTCGTTCCACTGAGCCTCAGGTCAGGCTGGCTGCAGAGAGGAAATGGGCAGTTCTCATATCAGAGAGGAGACCACGTGGAGCAGACAGAACACACAGCAGAGTCTGCAGCCTGAGGAGGTGGCCAGCCAGGGACAGGGCCTCCTAATGCTTTTCTCCCCCATCCTGTCCTCGTCCCGCCCCTAAAATGCTGTTTCCTGCTTTCTGGCTTCTCTCAGACACAGTTGCTTCCCTAGCTCAGGAAGCTGCCATCTTGCCTCTGCCAGGGCTCTGCAAAGGGCCAGCAACTTCGCGAGGTTACCAAAGACAGGGCTTGACCTGGAGTGACACCCGCTGTGGCCTTGGAGAACTTCTAGTCTTAGTGTGCATGCGTGCACTCTGAAAGGAAGGCTCGGTCTCCCTCATTGAAACCACCCCTTCCCTATTGGCTCAAATGCTCCCTAAGTCTGTGCTACCCCCACACGGGACATAGCATTAGCCCTGTGTCTGAAGCAACAGTCTGGGAGAGCTGTGTCACTTCCCTTGAGCCCACACCCCTTTCATCTTCCTCAAGGTATTTTAGGTGGGTATACAGAGCAGTGGCTTCTACCATAGGCTCTCCATACGTGCATGTGGCTGTGTGTTGTTCAGTGACCTCCCCATGCCCTTTCCTGGACTCAGCTGGCTTTCTCTCTTCCCCCAACTCCTCCCTTCTACCTTTCCATCTATTTCTGCCTCCCTTCCCTCTAATACCCCAAGGTTCTTCCTGCTCCTCACCATCCGCTTTCCAGTTTTGTGAGACACACACAGATGTACTGTTTGCACTTTTATCTTTCAGTGTGTGTGCGCGCGTGTGTGCACATGTGTGTGTGTGCGCGCGCATGTGTGTATGTGTGTGTGCGCGCACATGTGTGTGTGCATGCATGGGTGATCATGCACATGTATGTTGCTGTGTGTGAGTTCAGGCAGGATGTACTTCAGCCAGTGTGTGTGCATGCATGGGTGATCATGCACATGTGTGTTGCTGTGTGTGGGTTCAGGCAGGACGTACTTCAGCCAGTGTGTGTGCATGCATGGGTGATCATGCACATGTGTGTTCCTGTGTGTGGGTTCAGGCAGGATGTACTTCAGCCAGTGTGTGTGAAGGCCGGGTGACAATCTGGGTAGGGTGTTGGTCTTCACCCTTGTTTCTTGTTCAACACTGCACACAACTATCTGGCTGGTGAGCTTCAAGGAATTCTCATGTTCCCGCCTCCCATTTCACAACAGGAGCTATGAAATCACAGAGACTCCACTCCACTGGCTTTGTGTGGCTCTGGGGATCTGAACTCAAGTCCATACACTCGCACACTTGTTTTACTTTTCTGAGGCAAAGTTTCATGAGGCACAGGCTAGCCTCAAACTCCTTCTGTAGGAAGGGCTAGCCTTGAACTCCAGATCCTTCTGCCTTACCTCCCAAATTCTAGATTTGCAGGCTGTGTTCTACTACACCCAGCTCTTCTGAGCTCCCGATGCCTCCCAGTCTGAGAAAATAAGCCTGCTTCCCCACACCTCACAGTATCATTGGTCCTTGCTCAACAAGAAGAGCTGAGAAAATAAATGTGCTTGCCCTGCTGTTACTGTTAGCTGAGAGTCCCTGCAGTACGGCCTAGACCCACAGACCTCGTTCCCACAGTATAAAACTAGATCAAAAGTAGAGTTAGCTCCAGGGTAGGTTTTCTGCAAGGCCCTCCCTCGTGCCCAGGTCCTCTCCATTTAACAGCCCAAAGCGCTTTGAAAAGCAGTGTTATAAGCCCAGAACACCCCCAAAGCCCCCACAAAAGTCAGCGGTCTCATTTGTTTGCTTTTGTTTTTAAATGGGCCAGGCTCAAATACATGGTAATCCACCTGCCTCAGTCTTCTGAGTGCTGAGATTACAAGTGTGCACCGCCTTACCCTTCTGAAAGGGTTTGTTTTTTAGTGCCAGGATCAAAGTCCAAGCTTCATGAGTTCTACACACGTGTCCTCTGGACTGAGCTAAATCCCCATCCTCCTTGCTTCAGGTCAAGCTAAGGCTAGCACACTGCTCCACAAGGGCCTTTATGCACATGCATGCGCACACACACACATACAGAGACACACAAACACACACATAGATACAGACACACACACAGATACAGACACACACATATACACACACAGACACTGACACAGACACACACATGGAACCAGACACACACACAGACACTGACAGACACACACACAGACACACAGACACTGACACAAACACACACACAGACACACACATGAGCACAGACACACACACAGACACGCACATGGATACAGGCACACACAGACACACACACAGAGACACACATACACACACAGATACACACACATACACACACATGGGGGGAGAATCAGAGAAAGGTGTGCCACCTCAAACAGAATCCCCCACTCAGACACATACATGAAACACAAAGTGAGGGCTGCTGCTGTTGGTCTTGGGGTGCTCAAGTAAGAGAGAAGGCCATATTGGGGTTATCACTATTAGTCTTGGTGTGCTCAAATGAGAGAGAAGGCCATATTGGGGTTACCACTATTAGTCTCCCATGTTGCCCTTCAGGATGGGAGTCACTGTTAGTTCCCTGTTGACTACCCAGCTACAAATGACAGCGCTAACAGACTCAAGCATCGTGGGACCCCACTTTCAACTGTGACTTTCGGGTTCGCACCACTGCTCTGCCTGTGGCCCCTCCTATGACCACATATGATGTCCTCCACTCTCCCACATGCCTGACAACACGCAGCCTAGGACTATCCCTAGTAGCAACTGGAGTACTTTCCTACTTTTCTGAAGAGCACAGAAGCCCTGTTCTCAGACCTCACCCCCATCCCCAACCCAGCCTGAGAAACCATTCATTCGCCTCATTCAAATGCTGGCAAATTGCTGAGAAAGCTTTTCGGATGCAGGCAGATCAGATGCCTTAAATCATCTTATCCTGTTCCCAACACTTAATAAATCTGTGGTGGACACCTTCTCGCTGGCTGCTGGCAGCCAAAGAAAAAGACAGTTTTACAGCTAAACCCACAAAGAAATCACTTCGTGTTCGGCTTATCGGACTCCATTACTCCCTGCTTAAGCAGGGACACACTTTTTTTCTGCTGTGAAACCATCATTTTAGCACACACTACAGTATTTGCAAAAGGATCCAGGAACATCCAGTGGTGGCCAACAAACCCCTGGGGTGTTGAGACCTGGGGGTGCAGAGGCCTTGGGGTGCACATTTCAAGGGAAGTAGAAGGCACTCTGGGGGAGGGTGGCTGTCTGGGTACCGACAAGGTTCTGACAGGGGACGCTGAAGCATAGTACGGACTGTCAACCTAGAACTACCACAGGGGCATGCCTCTGGGCATGCCTGAGGGCTTCCTAGATTAGGGTGACTGAGGCAGGAAGACTCCCCGTACTGTTGGCAGCGTGGATCCATAGACGGGGATCCCTGGCTGTGTACCAAGAGAAGGAGCAGAGTGCCCGCATTCCTGGTTCTCCACTTCCTGACTGAGGACGCAGGGTGACCTGTCGCCCTCTGCTCTGCTGTAGCCTGACCTCCGCCACAGGGGACTATGTCCACTTGAACCACCAGCTAAGGTAGACAGTGTCATTAAGTCTCTCTTGTCAGGCATTTTGTCACAGCAGTGAGAAAATGAACCAATCTGAAGAAGGAGGGTGGCGTTGCCACTCCACGCTCAGGCCACAGAGGTGGCGTTTGGGCAGAAACCAGCAGCAGATCTGCTGGTTACCCCTGGGAAGCCGAGCCTAGCTACAGAAAGTGGCTGGAGCCTCAACTCTGGCTATGACGCTTGAATAACGTGTGCAGGCCCTAGAATACTCAGTCTCTATGCCTCGGTGTCTCCCGTGGATTGCAGGCATCAGAAACAGCACCTGGATCCCAGCGCTCCACAGAAGGTTACTCTTCTGCTCTCTGTGTAGCCAAAATCTCATCTGGAGTGGAGCCAGGAGCATTTGGTGAAAGTTACAGGGGCTCTAGCCCTGACAGAATGTCTCTGTCTCTAAAGGACAGTAACAGCAAGCCACCCTGGCTCAGGGGCACTGAAAATCATGTTAGAGATGGGAGTGGCAGCCAGCCTCCAAAGTGGGCCTTGGTGTCCCTGCCTCTGGTGAAGCTGCCTCCAACACCGAGAGTGCACGTTTGCAGCCCGGGGAACACAGCCGGGTGTTTCTGAGGTTGGGGATGGTTTGAGGGCCGCCTCCTGTTGTTCTTTGCCAGCTGTCACACCATGGGCGCTCCGCAGGCTTCTACACAGACCACGCTGAGGAAAACCCTGGGTCAAGTGCCAGCACCCCCTTTCCCACCATGTAGCAGTCTCCTGAGAAACGGGGCCACAGCCTCAGTCATTCCGCAGATATCAGGAAACAGGAGGCCACGAAGCAGGGCCGGTGAGCTAGCTGAGTCGTCCATGCGTTTGCTGAACAAGTGTAAGGATCTGAATTCAATCCCGAGCACCCATGGAAAACAGCCTGGGGTGGTGCCATGCACGTGAAATTTCAGTATTGAGAGGGGCCAAACTGGAGGATCCCTAGCCAACCAGACTAGCAAGTGTCTGAGTCCCAGGACCTAGCCAGAGACCCTGTCTTAAGGAAACAGTGTGGACCGCACCAGAATCACAGCATGGAAGAGAACATCCCAGAGCCATGGCCAAGAGCAAACTCCTATGAGCCGTAAAGAAATCTGTGCGTATCTAACCATTAGAATCTCAGTGCTTGTTACCGCAGTGTGACTTGGATTAACTTGGCCCGTTAGCGTGTGCTCCAAACAGCGCAGCGACTAACTGTGGTGGAACTGCCCGGCTCAGGTAGGAGAGCAACGGAGCAAACCACAAGCCACCATGATGTCACCACTGCCGTCTCAGGCCTTTGCTGCTACCACAGGAGGCTGTCTGTGCGGTGCTCATTAACAAACCGTGGGGCACAGCTTGTGACCGAGGGCTCCTGACAAAGGAGGGGACAGAGCAGCAAAAGGCAGCAACAGACACCGCGCTGTTGGCGAGTTTACAGATGAAGCTGGGGCCGGCAGACACCATGAGGCCGTTTGCTGTGTACATGACAATCAAAGCTAGGCAGTGTGAGCACCGGATCATCTGCCCAAAGGTGTCCAGACGCTTCTCCTTTCGCTGTGGTTCCTCAGCGAGCTGATTCTCATACTTACAGATGACTGCCACAGCTCCGGCCATTTCATCTTCCTGCACTCACCTTTTAACCAGAAAAAGAAAAAGAATTTTCGAGAGAGTTTCCCCTTTAGTGCCTCTGTCCACTAGACCAATGTTTTTCCTAGGAGTCCCAGAAAATCTCTTCTGTGGGATTGGGAAGGCCTGACTCATAAGGCTGCACAACAAGAAACAGAGGATACTTTATTCCTAAACCTACTTCCATGTGAGAAAAACCAAGATTTATTTAGCAGAAAAGGGAAGTGACAGCTATTGAGAAAGTTGTCAAGACCCTCTATAAATGGCATTGTCTAATAGCAAGGCATTAAATGCAAGAGCAGGAGAGGCTGGGGAGATGGCTCAGTCAGTAAAGTTCCTGCCTTGCAAGCATGAGGACCTGAGTTCAACCCCCAGGGCCCACATAAAAGCAGCCAGAAACAGTGGTGTACACTTACAACCCACTGTTGGGGGCCCAGGGTCAGGTGGAGTCCTGGGGCTCCTGCCTAGCCTACTTGGTGAGTTAAAGGTCTGGAAGATTCTCTCTCTCTCTCTCTCTCTCTCTCTCTCACACACACACACACACACACACACACACACACACGGTAAGATAGTTTTTCTAATCCCTTCCCAAGCAAATCCTATGCCTGCTCTTCTTCAAGTCAACTCCTTCAAATTACACAAGACTCAGAGACAGCAGGGGTCCATCAAGGCTCCCTGATGGATAAGATGATCTCCTAACTCCTGAACCAAGTCTGAGCCCATGCCAATCAATGTTTTCCACGTGGGTTCCAGGGAACAATACTCATCAGCCCCCCTACAAAGCAGACAGCATTGGGTGGCCAGATGTTCAGCCTCACCTAGGCAATTGCTGAGTCCCACCGCCTGCTGAAGCCCTGAGAAGTCCTTCAGACAAGCGCTGACCTGATTACAACCAATTCAGTCACTCCCAAGACGCAGCAAAGCATGGAACTGTCATCTTGTGGAACCAGTCCCACTGTAGGCCTGGTGTTCTGGAAAACACCCTTTGGGAATCCTGGCCCAAAGCAGTGCAGTTTCTTACCACCCCACCCACCACAGTCACGGCGCTGAACAGAGCCATCTGTGGAGACAGTAATTACCAGCATATGCTGCGAGCCAATGCCCGTTCTGCTCAGGTGGTGGCTTCTTTCTTTCTTTCTTTCTTTCTTTCTCTCTTTCTTTCTTTCCCTTTTAATTCTCTAGTTAATGAAGAAGTTTATTTTTGTTCGTTTATTTAGTAATTGTAATCACTTTCGAGAAAGATCTAGTATGTGTCATTTAGAGAGAATGCAAATGGAGTTGGGGATATTGTAGAAACCTCGAAGGCTGCCTCTGGCTCAGGGAGAGCTGGTGATGTCATCGGAACACCTTACCCTGAACATCAGGTGCAGGGCAAACGGACCACCTGCTTCTAAGAACAGCTGGGCGCCAACTACCTCTTTGCAAGCATGCTGCCCCCCCCTCCCGCTCCGTCCATCTATATACAGGGTGGTGAAGGAGGCAGAGTTGTGGAATGATTTGGAGGCCCCAGATCGGGTTGCAGGTTCTGGATTCTAGGCTGGCTGTCCCGCCACACAGGAGGAGGGGCAAACACAAGAACCACCTCCAGGTCCAGGATTCCAGATTCCTCTCAGCAGTCTTGACTAACATAACACTTTTTAAAGTTACATTTGTTTTATCCCATGTGTATGACTGTTTGCCAACAATCATGTATGAGCCCCACATGAATGCAGTACCCCCCCAGAGGACAGAACTGGAGTTATAAGATGGCTTTTAGCCACCATGTGGTTTCTGGGAATCAACACAAAAATCTCCTGCAAGAGCAAATGCTCTTAACCACTGGACAATCTCCCCAGTGTCCCCCTTTATCTTCTCATCCAGTGCTGAGGAAGGAACCCAGTCGTGCATGTGGTAGTCACGTGCTCCACCAAGGAGCTACATCTCAGCCCATCCGTTCCATTGTTCAGTTTCCGGGGAAAACAATCACAGGGGAGCCATCAAGATGCTTAGGTAGATAAGAGCACCTGTCTCCAGGCCTGACCCGCTGCATTAAGGGAAACCAACTCCTGCGGGGAGTATTCTGACCTCCACATTCAAGCTGTGGCACAAACACGCAAGCATGCAGTAAAGAAATGTTATTTAGCCAGCCGGTGGTGGTGCACGCCTACAATCTTAGCACTCAGGAGGCAGAGGCAGGCGGATCTCTGTGAGTTCGAGATCAGCCTGATCTACAGAGCGAGTACCAGGACAGGCTCCAAAGCTACCCAGAGAAACCCTGTCTCGAAAAACCAAGAGCAAAATAAAAGAAATGTTTTTTAAAAACAATCACACAGAGGCATGTACATATCCATGAACTCTCTGAAACTAAACACGCCAGAGTAAACTGTGCTTCTGGAAGATGCAAACACAGCTTACCACACCACAGGACCCCCAGCACTGCCTTCCAGCTCTTCCGTCTCCAGAGCAACCATCTTCCCGCCTTCTAGTACCACAGACGAGTGTTGTCTGGGACCTGCTATAAATGGAACCAAATGGTGTGAACACATCCTCACACCCAGCTTATTCAGTTCATGAAATTCTCCCAAGATGTGGAGTGTGACCATCTGTCACTTCTCACTGCTGTGTAGTGTCCTATGTGTGAACACACCTGCTTTGGCTTGTCCATTCTGGTTCCGAGAGATACATTTCCAGTTTGGAGCTATTGAAAAACAGCCGTTTGAAGCCTGCAGGCCGATGAGGAAAGGGGCTTGGTGTGAAGCCTGGACACCTGACTTTGACCCCCAGCACCCACACAGTCGAATGAGAGTGGACTCCCACAGACTGTCCCGTGATCTCCTACACATGTGCCGTGGTGAGCATGTGTGTGTGCAAACACACACACACATACACGCACGCATATATGCTAAAGAGGTGGGTGTGCTTTTTCTTTTTAAAATGGTGCTTCTGTGAACGTTCCAGTCCATATTTTTTCAGAGGAGCAGATGCTCGCCCTTATGTGGTTTAGACTCAGGCGGAGGTCCTGAACCATAAGGCACACCATGCTAAAATCATCCACACCCATCTACATGAGATATGTGTGTGAGTTAAGTTGCCTCCCTCTCACTAGGCACCTAGTGTGGTCCACCTGTCCTCATGGTCATGGTCATTCTGGCCAGGTGGCATCAATGTGGTTGTAATGCGCCTTCTGCAGATGAGCTATGTTGTTTCCCTTTTCCTGTATATCGGGCACTGGGCTATTGTGATGGCTGATCTTAGTTGTCGGGAGTCACCCGGGAGACACACTTCTAGGTGTGAGTGTGAGGTTTAACTGAGAGTGGGTGGCGGCTTCACCTGGCAACCAGGATAGATAGAGATCCAAGGACAAAGCAGGGTCTCCTGCTTCCCTCTGTCTCCTGAGGGAGTGCATGTGTGTATCACATGTCAGTCTCCCTATTCTTCAACCTTCCGAAGTAGATTAGACACCAGCAACTCTCAGCTGTGTGACCGGGTGTTCCGGGATGGACAGGGACCCCTAGAGGCTTCCAGTTTCATGGGCTGAGCAGTTTGGGGGTTCTCATCCTCTCCAGGGCGCAGACAGCCATGTTGGACTCCCAGGCCCTTATTACATAAGCTAGTATAGTAAGTCTGTGTGTGCACTCTGTTGGCTATGTTCCTTTAGACTGATACAACTATGCCCACTCTGAACAGTGTGCACAGAGCTCATCCATTCTTACCTTGATTTTCCTGTTGCTAACTTGCGCGTTGTGGTATAAGCATAGGCCTGCTGTTTGTCGCTCTCCCACACTCCACTCTGGCCAGAAAACAAGTTCTCCGTAGGAGGAAAATCCTTCTGGAAGTGGACCGCTCCCAGCTAGGGCAAGTTCACATCACCTCTCCCAGGGTACCTCTGCTTCAAGGCCGGGCTGACCAAGCGGAGGAGATGCCACGCATGTACGGTAAGCAGCTTCAGAGCTGCCCTGTGCCTGCCTGCAGCGTGGCCTTGTGAGTGTGCAGTGGGTGGGATGGGGGAGGGGTTGTTTTGTCCTTCTGGCTGGAAGAGCACATTTCTCTTGCAGACAATAGCCTCTTTGTGAAGGGTAGAGGCCAGGGATTTCTAAGACAAATTCCAAAAGTTCTAAGAAATTCCACAAACCAGACTGGGGAGATGGGGCATCTCCCGAGAATTCTGGACAGTCCCCAAGGATGGTGAGGCTAGGCGGAGAGGCCTTTTAGCAAACGGGTGCTGTGAGTGGTTTGCTTTAAGACATGGTGTGAGGCCATCACCTAGTCCTCCCAAGGTCCCCGCAGATTCTGATGCTCACACAGATCTGTAGACGTGTGTACTTAGTTCAGGGAGCAAACGAGAAGGGAATGAAGTGGAAAGACAGCATCCACCTAGTCACAGGAAGTGCAGACAGGCTCTCCAATGCATGACACCCTGGGAGACGGAGAAAGCATGATGCTGGCAAAGGGAAAGGAAAGAAGAGCTGAGGGCCAGTAGGATGGTGCAGCAGAGAGAGCTGCTCGCCAGCAAGCCCAGCGCCCTGAGTTCAGTTGCCTGGATTCACATAGCGCAGGAGAAAACCAGCGCCCACTGGCCTTCACAGCAGCAGTGCAACACACCTACATATAACTTACGAAATGCACTCACAAAATATTTCTTAAAAAGAAAAACCTGTAATTATGCCTCAGACTCAGATCCAAGCAAGAGACCGCTGCTGGCTAGTTTTTATGTCGACCTGACACAAGCTAGAGTCATTTTGGAAGAAGGGATCTCTGTTGTGAAAATGCCTCCACCAGACCGGACTGTGGCCAAGCCTGTGGCACATTTGCTTGACTGATGATGGGTGTGGGAGGGCCCAGCCCACTGTGGGTGGTGTCGCCTCTGGGCAGGGGTCCTGGGTGCTATAGGAAGCAGACTGAGCGAGCCATGAGGAGCAAGCCAGTGAGCAGCACTCCTCAGAGGCCTTTGCTTCACGTTTTGTCTCTAGGTTCTTGGTTTGAGCCCCTGCTCTGGCTTCCTTTGAGGGTGAACTGTCCTGTGGAAGCAGAGGTGGAAACAAACCCTTTCTCCCCGGGTTACTTTTGGTCGTGGTTTTTTCTCACATCATTAGAAACCCCAGCTAAGACAAGGACCGTCCTGCTGTGGACCTGCGGTGGCAGGCTAGGCATGGAGAGTGGACACCCTAGGTGTCCCTGAAACCTCCTTTCCCCGCCCTGGGCTGTGGAAGCAGGACAGAAGAGGCTTGCAGCCCTAGGCAGGGCAGGAGTCTCCTCCCCCGCACAGGCTCCACATTGTCCCCACGTTTCTTCTGAAATCGGGGGTATTTGTGGGGATAGCATCAAGGAATAATTATGGGTCTGTCCACCTGGGGGGGTGAAAGAAGTGGCAGTGTCAATCCCACAGCAAGGAGGCGCTCCCACTTAACCCCCAAGCAAGGGGTGCTCCTGCTGGATCCCACAGCAAGGAGGTGCTCCCACTTAACCCCCAAGCAAGGGGTGCTCCTGCTGGATCCCACAGCAAGGAGGCGCTCCCACTTAACCCCCAAGCAAGGGGTGCTCCTGCTGGATCCCACAGCAAGGAGGTGCTCCCACTTAACCCCCAAGCAAGGGGTTCTCCTGCTGGATCCCACAGCAAGGAGGTGCTCCCATTAGATCTCACAAGAAAGTGCTCCTGCTTGCAACCATATGCCTGAACTGGAGTTGTGTCCGTTTTCCCCAATGCTGTCTCCCTCTCCCCTTCTCCGGGGCACCTACCATGACTGGGATCCTGGGCTGGAAGCAGGTGAGTAGCCTCCGCGGTGGTTCCTAGTGCCGTGCTGTGTGGCTATGGCTAGGGACACCGAGGATGGGGACACCAGGCCAATTCTGTCCTGAAGGCTGTCCTCACAGCACCCCCTCCAAATCCTCCACCCTCCCTTTCATCCTCAAGCCACATGCTTGTCGCCTCCAATGGACAGCATGCATTGAGCCCTGGCTATCAGAATGAGCTCTCAGCTGTGTTCCACAGAAACCACGTCTGGCTGGTTCACAGAGGAAAATACCATCTGCAGACTTGGTCTAATGAGCCTGAAATGAGCGCGCGGGGCCACACACGGGAAGAGCATGCAAAGTGAGGCTGCATATGTGGTCCAGACCGTGGCTCCCAGGCTGGCCCTGGGCTGTCGCCATGATGCCGTCTGGACACTGGCCACCAACAGAATAGCACAGCCAGTGCTGAACTCTTCAAACAGCTGTAGCCACCAGAGACAGCCGAGCAAGGTACCCATCTGCCACAGGTGCGCCCAGCTGGCAGAACCCTGTCTGTAACAGAAGGTAGCTTCTGCCAGACCACATCATGAGGGGAGATCTCCAGACCAGGGAAAGAATGACAACATGCTGACCACAAAGAAAGACATATGTCCACTGCACACGCGGGGCCTTAGGTTCCGGCTTTAAATCTCGCACAAGTGTAGGAACGTGGGTGTCACCCTGTTCATCAGCTCAGCTATGCGGGGCTCAGAAATGCAGAGGTCGTCAGCAGTTTGAGAGCCCACAGTGTGGACGTGGGGGTGGCTGGCTGTAGACAGCCCTACTCCTCGCAGTAACCCCACTAAGTCCCCTGTCTTCCCAGATAGAGAATTGTGCAAGGTTGTATGTGCCTGTAAATGCTACTGCATGAGAACATGTGTGATGGCTGCCTATGTGTTTGTGTCCAAGTGTGTGTTTGCATGTGTGTATGAGAACTGTATGTGTTGTATGAATGTGTGTGTGTGTGTGTAGTTTGAATGTAATTGACTCCCATAAACTCATAGAGAGAGGCACTATTAGGAGGTGTTGCGTTGTTGGAGTAGGTCTGGCCTTGTTGGAGGAAGTGTGTCACCGTGGGGGGCGGCTTTGAGGTCTCTTAGACTCGAGCTGTGCTCAGTATAGAGACAGACCCCTTCTGCTGCCTGCAGATCAAGACGTAGAGTTCTCCATCCTTCTACAGCACACGTCTGCTTGCACGTGGCCATGTCCTGATGATAGGATTTCTGTCCCACATTGTCCCACAGCCGTTTAGCCCCCAAATAAACACACAGGGACTTGTAATAATTATAAACTGTCTGGACGATGGCTTTGGGATTTTACTGGCTAGCTCTCTCTCTCTTCATTATTAACCCATTTCTATTAAACTGTCTATCTCCACGTGCTTTTGGTTTACTGGAGAATGCTCCAACATGTTACTCTTTCAGGGGCTACCTGGCGTCTCCCTTGTCTCCCTCGCTGCTTCTCTCTGTGTCCCCTCCCCAGAATCCTCCTGTTCTGGTCGTCCCACCTACACTTCCTGCCTGACTACTGGCCAATCAGTGTTTTATTCATCAACCAATAAGAGAAGCATATATACAGAAGGACGTCCCCCATCAACGTCCTGCTATAATGACAATGAACTAAACCTCTGAAACTGTAACCAACCCCAATCAAATGTCTCCATTTATAAGAGTTGCTGTAGTCAAGGTGCCTCTTCACAGCAATAGAAACTCTAATCAAGACAGTGTGTATCTTTGTTTTGCATATGTAAATTGTGTGTGAATGTGTGTGTGTGAGATTGTGTATGTGGAACTGTGTTTTCACATATGCATCATGTGTATTACATGCCATGTATGATGGCTAATCTTGTCAACTTGACACACCTGGGAAGAGGTGTCAGTTGAAGAACTGAAAAATTGCCTTCGTCAGATTGGCCTGTGGACACCTCTGTGGGGCATTTCCTTGGTTGGCGATTGATGCGGGAGGCTCAGCCCGCTGTGGCTGACGCCATAGCAGAGCAGATGGTCCCAGGATGTGTAATTAAGCAGGACGAGCAAGCCATGGACAGCAGGCCAGGAAGCAGCACTCCACAAGGCCCTACTTCAGTGTCCACTCCGGGTTCCTGACTGACTCCCCTTCTTGATGGATATAGACCATAAGCTGAAATAAACCTTTTCTTCCAAGCAACAGAAACCAAACTAGGACACTATGCATGCATGCTTGAATAGATGTGTGTATGTATTGTGTAAGTGTATGTATTCATGTGCTTATTTATGGATATGACTCTCTATGATTTGTCTGTGTGTCTACGTACACCTCTGTGTGTGCATGTGCAAGTGTGCGTGCGTGCGTGTGTGTGTGTGTGTGTGTGTGTGTGTGTGTGTTTGCATATGTATACCTGAACATGCTGGGTTAAGGCTGTCTCCCTGTTGGCCCACTGAGGACATCTGAGCCATCATCCTACAGTGTGATGGCTCTGCCCCAACTTCCCACGTACATTCATTATGGACATGGCCACTATGCCTACCAGGCTCTGATGCCAAACTCTGTGGAGGTAACCAAAAGGCTCTGTGAAGACGCTTGACATCCCAGGCCCCGAATGCCCAAGTAGTTCATGCCACAGCCCCCATCCATACTGCCTCTTAGCAGCAGACACATTGGGCTGGCTGAATAAGCCATGTGGGCTTAGAAGGAAGGGTGTCGTCCAAAATCAGTCCATGTGAACCCTGAGTCTCCTGCCTCTTCTTCAACTCCCCACCAGGGTGCCACTGTCCATAGCAGGTGCCGCTGTCCACAACAGGTGACACTATACACAGCAGGTGACACTGTCCACAGCAGGTGACACTGCACACAGCAGGTGACACTGTCCACAGCAGGTGACACTGCACACAGCAGGTGACACTATACACAGCAGGTGACACTGTCCACATCAGGTGACACTGTCTACAGCAGGTGACACTGTCTACAGCAGGTGACACTGTCCACAGCAGGTGACATTGTCCACAGCAGGTGACACTGCACACAGCAGGTGACACTGCCTACAGCAGGTGACACTGTCCACAGCAGGTGACACTGTCCACAGCAGGTGCCCTCATCTGTGGGATAAATAACTGGGCAGGTTAGTGTATGAGTGAGTGGGGCTTCTCACAGATAAAGTCAAGGAGCTCTGAGCCAGGCTGATGGGGCAGTACTCTTT